ACCACGAGGGATAGGACACGTCGGTCCCATCGAAAACAGGAGCCTTGGGGACTTTAAAAGGACCCCTACCCAATTTCTCTCCTGAATCTGTAATGCCGGCCCCAGGAATCAATGTATTTCCACCGGCGACACTTTCCCACCACTTACTCGACGGAGTAGGTGCGGGTGGAACAGAGGACTGGCTACCTAAAGCCCCACCTACAGTCCCGGGAACGAAAGACTGGCTACCTAAAGCCCCACTTCCAATTCCAATCGAACCAAAGCTTGCAGCACCAGCAGAGGAACGATTAACAGCAGTCACATGAGGGTTCAAGCCTGAGTCTACAAGACTGCTACTCCCAACCCGCATGCCGGACACGCCAAGGCCTTGGGCATCGCCGCCCGTACCTCCCGCGGTCCTACCAGTAGCATCAGAAGGATGCGTACCAGTCTCTGTTCCGCCGCCTCCCGGCGCGGCAGCCGAAACAGAGGACTCCACCTGCTCCCTCTGTTGGCCAACAAGCGACGTGACTAGAGTCGCAAGTTGGGACAACTGCGTCTCTAGGGAAACCATCCTCTCACCAATATCCTGCGAATTACCCTGACTGAGGTGGGTCATCCGCAGACTTCCCTTCTTCACCAGCCATGATGAGATAGGTTGATCAGGCCTCTCTCGTACAGTCTCGTGCCGCCCAGGGGGACGTTGGAGCAGTTGACTTTTGTCGCTATAGCGTTTTGGAAACTCGTGACTTCAGGAGAAATATGTGGTGTATTAATGAGAACTTGCCCGGAGAGACAGGTCGGCAAGGTGGAGTGAGCACGGTGGGCTGCGCTCCCCATGGCTTCTCGCTACAGCTTTTCCTCAGCAATAAATCTATTCGCTGCAATCTATTCGCTGCAATCTACTCGCTGCACCACTATATGACAGAACACGTTGACGCACCACTATATGGCTTTCTGTAAGCATGTTCGCAATGATCTACAGTATTTCAACCAGGTATTGGTGTTTTTTCCTTTGAACACCGTATGGCAGCTTTTTTATAACGCACAGACGATAAGCTTCGCCTCGAGAAATTTTAGGCGTAACCTGCAGTGACACGCACTTCGAGGGCGCACGCTTGCTGAACAGCAGTAGGAGGCCTAGTGCATCACAGCAATTGGAGGCTCCGTACATCGCGCATTCGGTGTTGACTGCAGTGCAAACCTCGAATACTGATAGTGACATGCTCGCATAGCACGCAAAGACAAGCTTCGCCTCTAAGGAACAACATTCAGCCGTGACTTGCATTGACACACACGCAGAAGGGCGCATGCCAGCGGAACAGCAGTGTGAGCCTGTGGTGTGAATCACGCATGCATGTGTTGTAGCTGCACCCAGACCTCAATTGTCTTGTATTATGGATATTATGTAGATTACCCTGGCACAGCAGTGGTGTAGTGTAGAGGCTGTGTCGTCGACGTTGTTAGTCGAGGTGATGACACGTGCGAGAGGGTAGCCTAGAAGACGAGAGTCCTTCCACGGAGTGAAGAAGATGTTGAGATATTGGAACACTGGCGCTTAGATGGCCAACACAATCCGGAAGGATCACACGAGAGAGTGAGCTGTTCGGCTCGGCTACCAAGCACCACGCAGAGAATCCTGCGAGAGTAATTCCTCCGCATACATATACGTATCCGTTACATTCGAACCGACATTCGAACCGACATTCGAACCGACACATGTGAGATCTAAGATATACAAGAGCAGGGTTACTGAACATTGACTCATACTGGCTATGTGCTAACATTTCCATAACACTCCCCTTCAATGAAAGTTGCTCTGAATTGTACCAAAGTACAGTGATGAAAATCAAATCAACCAAGTACTCGTTTCCTGCGTAACGTAACTCATTCGTTGCATGCGTTTCAACCACTAATGTACCAAGTGGTATTTCATGTTTTGCACGTGCTACAACATATTCATGCGCTTGCAAAAAGTACCTGCTACTGTTTCCTGCATAGACCAAGCACCATAACTTTCAATCCTACATGGCTCGTTCAACCAGTGATGGTGCGAGGCCGAATGCTGACTACCGAAAGAACACGCTGATTCACACAAACAGAACAGATGCAAGAATACTTCGTAACAAACACACAAACAAACGATTACGTGAACTTGTTGCTGATGAAGTCGTTGACGTTGAAACTGCTGATGATGTCCAGCAGGTGTTTGAGCCAATGCTTGTTCAGATACTTTGTCCCGATGTCGGCAAGGTTGCTGTCCGTCGGGACGTAATGGATCGATATCCGTCCTTCCAATACTAGCTCTCGGATGTAAAAGAAGCGAAGTGCGATATGGTTTTCCCTCGAGCTAAAGGAGCGGTTTCCCAGCGCGTGAAGCGTCGCCGTGTTGTCGCAGTACAGCGGCACTTGCGCAAACTCCTTACCAAACCCTAGCTCAGTTAGCATGTTAGAACAGAACACTGCTTCCTTCATGGCTAGTGCCGATGCAATCAGCTCTGCCTCCATGGTAGATATGGCAGCTGGACCTTGTATCCCCGACTTAAGACTCACCGGTGCATGTTCTAGCATCGTCCAGTAGCAGGAGGTGGACTTTCCGTTGTCCGGGTTATTCGCCCAGTTGGTGTCCGAAAAGGTCCCAAGCTTGAAGCCTTCACTCTTGTATGTGATTCTAAAATCCGTTGTTCCGGCCACATAGCGAAGAGTGTGTTAGCTGCCACCATGTGGATCTTGCTGGGTTTCGCCATTGGGCGGGCCAGTTGGCCCGTAGCGTACATGATGTCGTAGCGGAGCACTTGAGCGATGTACATCAGGCACCCCACAATGCCCTGATAACGTCTGGTTGCCTCCTCGCCTAGCAAAGTGTCCTCTGGTAGCTTGTTGGAGAGCTCCGAACCAAGCCAGGCATGCTGGTCGGTTTGCATTCCGACATCCCGAACCTCTCTAAGATGGACTTGGTATACGCTTCCTGGGAAATCGTCAGGGTACCTTGGTTGCGGTCCCCTTAATTTCCATGCCCAAGACAAGCTTCGCCTCGCCTATGTCTGTCGACTTGAACCTTTGCTTCAGCTTCTTTTTGATCATCGAGATGGCGTTGGATTTGTTACTGGCTAGAAGGAGTTCGTAAACGTAAAGCGTTAGGTAGACTTGAACATCGTCGTGGTCGTACAGGTAGACGCAAGTGTCAGACTTGAGCGGAACGAAACCTATTTCAACAAGGAAAGGGTCGATGGTGTGGAACCAGTTGCTGGGGCTTTGGGCCAGCCCTTAGAGGCTCTTCTGTAGCTGCATCACTAGATCACCTCTATCCTTGTCCTTGACCTCGAAGCCAGGTGGCTGTTCGACGAACACGTTCTCGAGGATGTCAGCGTAGAGGAAGGCTGTGGAAACGTCCATTTGATCCAACTCCAGGTTGAACTGCACGGCTATGCACGCTAACATCTGAATGCTCTGTAACCTGCACACCGGAGCGTAGGTGCTGCCCCAGTCCAGTCCAGGCACTTGGTTCCAGCCTTGCGCCACTAGACGCCCCTTGAAGGAGCCGTCTGCCTTACGCTTGAACACCTATTTGGACTTTATCCGCGTTCTCCCTGGGGGAACTGCCGTGCGCGGGACGAGCTTGTAAACTTGACGTTCCTTGAGACTCGCGATCTCGCGCTCTGCAGTTGCGTTCCACTGTTCTCCGTCCGGCATGGCCCTTGCCTCTTCAACTGTTCGTGGAACATCCGGTTGGGATGCCCCCATAGCGTACGCGTATTCCATGAAAAGAAAGGAGCCGTCCCTATGAGCGACGCCAGGGAACTCCCCTCTCGCGGTAAATGCGTAGGAGATACGACGGAGTTCGCGGATGGTCTTCGCGTTGGGCATGCGCAAACTCGACCTGGTGACAGCAGGTGCCGACGTGACCCTCGTCCACCACGAGAACCACTTCCACTTGTCGAGCCGCGACCTCTACGCGGCGTGATGCCTCCCCGCGCCGATCCTCATCGCGAAGATCCACCACGAGCACCTCGGCCACTATAAGGCAAACCGCGCCCACGCGCAGATCCACCCCGTGGTCCAGCACTAGACGTAAGCAGGACCAGAAGGCGATGAACCTTGTGGCGTAGGACCAGGTGACGTACCAGAAGGAGACGCACCGTCATTCCTTTCAGGAGGGTTTACTCCCCCAGGCGAGGCAGGGCTACCTCCCGTAGGTGTACCACCAGAAGTCCAAGGCGCGTCGTCGGTGGGAGGAGTTACTGCAGGACTAACCCCAAGGCCACGGTTGGTTGTCTCACGGATTTGCTCGAGAAGCTCAATCACAGGCATGTCCCCGACGTCGTGATCAGGAGAGAGCGAATCAACTGAGTGGTTGAAAGTGTAGTTTCGCACGTCTGTTACCATGTCGTCGTGATTGTCGTACGTGAACTCCCCGTCGTCGAAGCCACCCTCATCCAACGCAGGCGCAACGGGAGGTGTCTCAATGACGACAACATTTCGACTCACCCGTACACGTCGCATCTCAGAGTTGTAGATCCGGTACGACTTGCTGTCCATGCTGTATCCGACAAGGCGTCCTTCCCAAGCACGGTGCTCCAGCTTCCTGATTGCGTCTCTTCGTGCACGAACGCCCTTGACACTATTACCCGAAGGTGACCAAGGTAGGCATCCTTGCCGTAGAGCGCCTTGTACGGCGTCCCGTTTTGCAGGGCTGCATGAGGAACCCGGGTGCTCAGGTAGACTGCCGTCTGGATCAGCTCCCACCAAAGGAAGTTCGGTAGAGTTGAGTCAGCGAGCAGACAGCGCACGACATTCAAAATCGTCCGACCCGCACGCTCGTTGGCTCCGATCTGCTGAGGGGTGTTCGGAGAGGCGAACTCCAGCTTGATGCCGATGTCTTGATAGTACTGACGGAATTCCGCACTCGTGAATTCTGTGCCGTGATCTCCACGGAGGCAATGAATGCCTTCTCCGGTAGGAACCACGGTCCCTTTGTTGAACAACGCGAGGGAGTCTACAGAACAGGTCTTGTCCTTCATGAGACCTATCTCCGCCCACTTGGTCTGCTGGTCCACGAACTTGGTGGCATACTTGAATCCGCCCAACGCTGTAGGTGTGAAGGGGCCGAGGGTATCAACGAAAACGAGCTGAAAAGGACGCTTAACGTCGTAGGTGGCCTCCTTAGGATGAGGTTGTTGGGTACTCTTACCGAGCGCGCAGGGACCGCAATCCTTGACGTCTTCGGTGTGGTCGACGCCGTTGTTTGGTGCCTTCCTCAAGATGTCCAAACTCTTGCTGTTGATATGGCCCATGCGTCTGTGCCACAGGTTGGCCGACTCCACCTTCAGGGCTAGGCCGCCGGGTCCGTTCTCGATCATTCCCCCAGCGCCGCCCCTGAGTTTGATCTGGCCGGTGCAAAGTAGTTTGCCGGTCTTGTCCACCCCATGAGAGGTCATCAGTACAGTGCATGAGCCATCTACCGACCCCAACCTTGGGTTGGCCGTATGGAACATCGCTGCCACCCCAGAGCATGACAGCGCCCACGGACAAGAGATGGGTCCCCAGCCCAGGCACGAGAATTACTCGGAGAGATACGGCCCTGTCAGATCCGCTGTGGTCCGCGACGATGCCTTGGAAGACCCCAGTAGCAACACCTTGATGGTGTAATGGCCAATGCCGACCACCGCGAATGGAGGCCGAAATTCTTTGATATCGTATATGTATTCTCGCACGCCTGGCAAAAGCTCAGGGTCGATATGGTTGTCGGTGGCTCCGCTGTCCACCAGCATCTGGAGGGATGATCCGTCGGAACGGAAGAGAGCCGCCGACAATTCGGCAGGGGTCGCCATGAACGCACCGAAAAACCCTTCGGGTAAGCGGTGGTCCTGTGCAGGCGACGATGATGAGGTAGTTGTAGGTACCGCCTGAGCGGTGGCAGACGCCGCCGGAGGCGTCTGGGAAGGGGCAGGCGACGAGGCGGTGTCAGCCAAGGAAGCAGCGAGGGCGCTGAAGGAGAACCCGAATGAAGGTGTATCTGCCGGAGCCTGTGTTGCCGCCGCTGGAGACGACGAGTGCGCCAGGTGGGCGCTCCCCACGTTGGAGAGGCGTCCTTGGGCAGCGGAGTGTAGCAGCGCCGAATTCGCGGCCAACCCTTGTAGCTCCTTCTGCTTGCTCTCGCGTAACTTCTGCTGTTTCAAACACTCAGCGTCGCTGTGTGTCGTAGGTTTGTGGTAGGCGCACCACTTTGGCTGAGCACTCCCACCGCCTTTCTTGCTTTTTCCATTCCTCTTCGCTTGGTTGGAACGACTCTTCTGTCCTTGTTTGGGGCAGTCGCGCTGGAAGGGCCCGTACTCCTTGCAGCGATGGCACTGGTCGGAGCTGGATGCGGCCGCCATTGCGGCCCCTCGTCCCGAGACCATAGGGCCCGACGCGTTCCGCGACTGCTGGTCCACAAAAATACGGTTGGCCGTCGCCTGGAGACTGTCTACTGAAGCAATATTGTCACGGTAGTGCATCTCCCTGATGAACGTGAACTCCGGGGCCTTGGTCAGGCCTGAGAGCATGATGTCCAGGTAGACTGGGCTCGACACTTCCTCCCCCAGCACCATAAGGCGAAGCTTGAGATCCCACCCCTTTGTGAAGAAGTCGATGGGATCATTGCCCGCAAGGTGTCGCAGGTTGAACAGCTCGTTGTGACACGCACGCCGAGCTTCCTGGGTTTGAGCATCAAAACGCTCGTGTTGAGCTCTCCAGGCCGCCGTCCCATCCCCCATGTCACTATCCGCCGCCCCNATTGCCCGCAAGGTGTCGCAGGTTGAACAGCTCGTTGTGACACGCACGCCGAGCTTCCTGGGTTTGAGCATCAAAACGCTCGTGTTGAGCTCTCCAGGCCGCCGTCCCATCCCCCATGTCACTATCCGCCGCCCCTTCGTGAGTGCGGACAGTGAGCTGCGCAGACCCGAAGGTCACGAAGAAGAGGAGGGAGTACAGGCGACCGTTGGCCTTGTCCCACGCGGCCACATCCTCCGCGTTCGCCGCGGTCGCCGAAGGACGCGCGTTTCCGTTGAGGACGCAGAGAAGCTCCGGCGCGTGGAGGATGATTGCTTGTCGAAGCTTGATCTTCCACTCGCGAAAACCTGAATGTCCTGCGCATTTCCCAATGGAGTCCAGCATGCGGTGGAGCCCGGAGCTCGATGATTCCGCCATCACTGAAACCAGGGTCACACGCCGAGCGCTATGCGGTTTTCAGCACACGTAAGACGCCTCAATTACCTGCGAAGGTTCGACGCGTCAGAACAAGACGGTGCTATGCTACACAGAGGTAGGCTTGGTGCAGGTCGTAGCTTTGTAGCGTACAACCCACGTCCAGCGGAAGCGATATAGCGTCCGCTCGGACTACTGCGCTACTACGAGCACAGCTATGACCTACCGTAGGTGGCTAGGCTGCGGTGTTGCGGCGACGAAGTTGCCAACTCCGGCCTCGTCCTGCAGGCACACGGGTCAGATGTACTGCTTAGACTTGCTACGCGTCTTTCAGCGCAGACTTTTGGCTGCTGTACGGATGCAAACAGACCTGGTCGGATCCTCAACCTCCACTCGCACCGGCATACACACAGCACGCGTAAGATATCTTGGACAGACCCACCTCGCGTATAGCACAACGCGCAGGCAAATTTACGTGAGCGGATCACGTGGGTGTAGCTGTAACAGCAGTGGGCTACCAGCTTGCAGTCGTATCCTCAGCCTGCACACGCTACCAAGCATGGCAACTCAGCACGTGGGAGATATCTTGGACAGACTACACGACTCGCGAAGGACCACGCGCAGGCGGTTTTGGTAGTTAGTTGAGAACACACAACACCAAGGACGGCACTCCGCACGCAGAACCAACTACCTGCACAACTCTATTCGCCGACCGAAATCAACGCCTAGAAATCATGCCCCCGAAAGCTTTCCACAGTATCGTACCGAAATGTGCAGCCAAGAACCTAGGTTTTCAGTCCGGGCCCAATAAGCAAGCGGGTTGACTCAGTGTGACCTCTAGCAGAAAGCAGACGGTAGCTCCCTGTAGAAACACCCAAGCTGGTAGATGTGTGTTTCTCCACAGTGCTCGACACCAGCGGAAGACGCAGAAGACGCAGTCGCCGTAGTAGGCCTCCAGTCACACAAAACCGAGGCTCATAACCTATTATTCGAGCGAAGCGAGATTTCTAATCTTGCCTGAGAGGGCTCAGCGCAATATAGGGGCCGATGCAGGAAAAAAAGTGCGTGCGTGTGTTGTGTTCGCTTAAACTAGGTTTTAGAGTACAGGACTTGATTTGTGACTACAGGGCGCACTTTTTTTTTTTACACAGCAGAGCAGCAAACAGCAACAGCAGACAACACGCGCTCAGCGAGCAGACTGAACACACACGCACAGCAGACAACACGCGCTCAGCGGGCACAGCGACACACCAACAGCGCAGAGCGGACACAGCCACAGCGGCCTGCATGGCATGGCAATTGCATGATGAGTAGACGTCCGTTGGGGCCGATTGACCCGAACTCCCTCCGTGAGGCAGAGACGCACACAGACTCGCGGCGCAGACAAAGCCACGGGGAGAGGGAGCCCCTAGGCAGCCCACAGCTTGACCGGGCGAGAGCTGCTGCTCGTCAGAGGACTGCCGCCAGGCGTGCGGCGGAGACCGATGGAGCACGGGCAGAAAGGTGCGTTGCGTGTGCGTGCGTCTGGGCGGCGATTGCCGGAGAGGGGAAATCGAGTTCAAATACACCAACTGCCTTTTCTTCTTCCGCGCACACAGCACTACTACTGCAGACTACTACTGCTTTCTTCTTCCGCGCACACAGCACGACTACTGCCCACACACAACACATCGTACACTTCGTACGCACGGCACACACACACAGGCTGCGGGCGGGCCGGCAGAGAGCCGCCGCTACAGCCGCCGCTAGGCGACTGCGAGGGCAGACACCACAACAGCGGGCGGTCAACCGAGAGAGAGAGGCTGCGAGGCGCCAGCGGCAAACACCACAGCAGCTGGCGGATAACCGAGAGAGAGAGGCTGCGAGGCGCCAGCAGCAGACACCACAAGCGACAGAGGCCAGGTGTGGTGTGCATTGGTGTGGTGTGCATTGCATGCATAAAAGGTTGTTGGTACCCAGCATTTTTGGAATTTGCAAAATACTTTTCGCCGCATGTCAACTTCGCATGGTCCACACGCACGCATCACGCTGCCTTTCTTTGCAGATCACGCATCACGCTGCTGCCTTCTTTGCAGATTACACGTTGAGACTAACCTCACGGGCCCCACTTCGCAGGCGTGCAGCGGGTAGAGAACGGGCAGCAGCGGCCAGAGCCGCGGCCAGAGATGCCGAGAGGGCCAGGCGAGAGAGGGAGGCTAATGTGAAGCGGAGAGATCTTGCGGAGTTTCACGCTGCTAGGCCGCTGGAAAAGTTGGGTTGGGCCAGATTAGAGATGCAAACGAATTTCCAGCAGCCCATGACCGCCCGGAGGATGCACGTGTGCACAGTGTGCTCTGAACGTTGGGACACCGCAGAGGACGGACCAGGGGACGGACCAGGGGACGGAGGTGCCGTCTACAGGTGGGTGGTCTTTCGTGTTCAAACGCGTCGACATGAACGTGTCGGCTTGGTGCATCACGTTGCATCATGTTGCAATGTTGCAAAAAAGAAAAGGACCAGAAAAATACACTGATGTATGGAGGATACCATATGCCTGGGAAAAGAAAAATGGAAAAAAGGAAAGTGGATAGAAAAATGCATGAGCAGGGATCGAACTTTGGTCGGGATATTCATAATTTGCATACCTACCGCATATGCCAGGTGCTCTCCACTGATGTTGGCAACGGCCCTCACGTTACCCTTCTATACCCCACCACCTGCCGCCCCCACACCCGCTGGTTCGTACAGTTGTCCGCGGTGCAAGAAGGACAAGAAGAGTCCGAAGCTGTTCTCCGCCGACAACACCATGGATCCTGGGAGCGTACCCGTCGAGCTCCAGGGCCTGACCCAGACGGAGGAGATGCTCATCGCGCGGTGCTGTCCGATCATGCGCGTCCTCCACCTCAAGGGTGGGCAGCTAGGGTACGGTGGCCATGTCGTCAACGTCGCTCAGGACATCAGTACCTTAGCCGCTGCCCTCCCCAGGTTGGCCGCCGATGTACCGATCATCATCATCCGGAGGGAGGGGCAGGAACCCGGCCAGCACAAGGACCTACACGTGCGGAGGGCTCGCGTGCAACGGGCTTTGCAATGGCTCATTGCCAACAACCCGTACTACCGCGACATCGTCCTTGACAACACGGCCCTATCCCAGCTCCCCGTCGACGGGCAACTACGTGGACTGCGAACCACCGTCAGCGGGGGAGACTCGGAGCGTGACCTTGGCCCTCGGGGGGAGGGGGGAGGGGAGGAGGACGGCGATACCCCCGAGGACACGGAGTCCTTTATGGCTCCGGCAGGCAAGAGCATGCTCGAGGACCGCGCGATTGAAGCAGCCCTGCGGAGGCAGGTGAGGGAGAGCGGGGCGGATGTTCCGGTCAACGCCTGGCCTGGGATGGAGGCGACCGCCCTGAACGAGTTCAAGACAACAGGCCTCGCGTCCATGGCCTTCCCCGCCCTCTTCCCATGGGGGAAGGGAGACCCCACCGACCCGGCACGGTCCAGGAGCGTCAAGCCCACCGACGGCATGAGACACCTTCTCAAATTCTTCCGGGACGGTCGCTACCGCTTTGCATCTCACCCCCGTTTTCCTCACTGGTGCCAGAACATGCTCGAACGCCACAGGATGCTCAGCCAGGCGCAGGTCTACCTCAAGCAAAACCCAGGGGACGCCGCCATGACGATAGAGCACATGAGGCATCTGTTCCGGTCGGGTTCGCCGCTGGCGCAGCAGCTCACACAGCGCATGTGCCGGTACGGCGCCAACATCACCGGGTCTAGGCCGTACTGGTACGCCAAGCAGCAGGAGCTCCAGGCGATTTTTGCCACCAAGGGCTGCGCTACTCTCTTCTTCACGCTCTCTGCCGCCGACACCCACTGGGACGGCCTCTTCGACCTGATGCCACCAGGGTACCAGGACTCCCCAGCGGGCAAACGGAGGGCCCTCATTGAAAACCCGCATATCGCCGACACCTACTTCGGCAACAGGGCGGACGCTTTCACCTCCGCCTTTTTCGGCGGTGTACTCCAAGCCCAGTCGCTGTGGTACAGGCTTGAGTACCAGGGGAGGGGTAGCACGCACGCGCACGGATGTGCCTGGCTCCAAGACGATCCCGGTATCGTCAACCTCGTCTGCAAAGCGTACGCTGGGAGGAAGGCGGCCGAACGGATGGAGGCGGCCGAGGGCCTGGCCGCCGGACAGGGGGGGATCGGCGACGAGGAAGAACGCCAGGCTCTGGAGCGAGCCGTCGCCGACGGCAAAACAGCGGACGACAAGGTTTGCAGATACGCCGATTGGCTCATCTGCACCGTCAACACTCGGTCTACGGAGGAGCGCGCCGCCCATCCGGGGGGAGTGCCAGACCCTCACCCATGCTCCGTCAACCCCTTCAAGCACGGGCCTGTCAGCGACGAGGCCACAGGCCGTGCCGACATCGACGGACTCATCAACTGCTGCCAGCGCCACGTTTGCCGTCCTGAAGGGTACTGCAAGCGCGCTGGGCGGCAGGGGTGTCGCTTCGGCTTCCCGCACGAGTGTCAACCCGAGACCTCCTTGCAGTTCGAGGAGATGGACAACGGCTCCGTGAGAGCCACCATCAAAACCAAGCGCAACGACGGCAATCTCAACAGCTACTGCCGCCTTGCTCTCTCTCATTGGCGGGCGAACATCGACTTCCAACTCATCTTGGACTGGGACCAGGCGGTGCGGTACATGGTGAAGTATGTGAGCAAAGGAGAGAAGCGGTCGCCCGCCGCCGCCGACGTCTTCGCCCGGGCCATCGGTCGCGCGGACGATGACGCTGACGAGGCGCAAACAGTCCTGCGAAGCGTGTTCCTCAAGTGTACGGGCGAGCGCGACATTTCCGCCCAGGAGACGGCACGGCTGCTCCTCGGGAACAAGCTGTGCTCTTCTTCTTTCAGCTTCGTACGCCTCGTCGTCGACCCTTCCACCAGCACACGCCAGGTTAACCTCGACGGTGCGGCGGGGGAGGGCGCCCTCAAGAAATCCATGCGGGACCTCTACGCCGGCCGGCGCAGCGTCATCGACAAGTACCCATCCATCATGGATGTTAGCTACTTCCAGTTCCACCAGCTGTACACTCGAGACCGGGGGGGGGGGGTCACGGCGAGAGACGGCGCGGGCAGCCTCGTCGTCATCAAGCTGCCTGCCCTGCCGTGCTCTCCGGGGAGCGCGCGGCATCTTGAGGCCTGCCGCAACAACCTCTTCGCCCACAGGCCATGGGAGGATGAGCCGACAACAGCCTGCCGCGACATGGGGGCAGTCACGGACCTGGATGCCTCAGCCTCCATCTCCGGAGAGGAACCCAAGCTCGCCCTGCTGTGGGACGCCTTCGTCCAAGCCAACCAAGACCTGCCCGAGCTGCGCTTCGGCGACATGCTGGCAGGGCGGCTGTCTCTTGCCCGCCGAGAGGCCGCGTCCACGGCCGAAGACGACGACGACGACGGCTTGCTCTTAGACCAGCCCGACGATTGGATGGATGGGGCCAACATGCGGCGAAGAGGCGCCGCCAGGGAAGAACAGGAGGTTGACACAAGGTGGGACGCTGAATACAACTGGGCCGGCGCCCGAGCGACTGAGGTCCAACATGAGCTGGAGAGAGGGCCAACGTGGATTGCGAACGCCAAGAAAGCTGCAGCCGGCACTGGCCCCGCCACCGAGATTCCTCATGTGGCTCCGGACTCTCTCAATGAGCGGCAACGCAATTGCTACGACGTCGTCAGGGACCACTTCGAGAACGAGCGCGAGGAGCCACTGCGCATGATGGTTCTCGGGACGGCAGGCACGGGGAAATCATACCTCGTGTATGCCCTCTCCAGGCTGCTCGGCGGCTTCCTTCGACGGGCAGCTCCAACCGGTATGGCGGCCTTCCTCATCGCCGGCAGCACGCTGCACAGCCTCCTCCGACTGCCGGTGAGGCAAGGAAGGAATCTCCAGGGTCAAAGCCTCAAAGCCCTGCAGAATTCCCTTACTGGCGTCAAGTACATCATCATCGACGAGCTATCGATGGTCAGCCAGTCCCAGATGGCGTGGGTCGATCGACGTCTGCGACAAGGGACAGCTGTAGACAAACCCTTCGGCGGAATCTCCCTGATCATGACCGGCGATCTGGGCCAGCTGCAACCGGTGGGAGGAACTCCGCTGTACAAGCAAAACCCAGCTGCCGCGCTCAACGTTGAAGGCTATGCCGCCTACAGCCTCTTCCAGGACGTCTTCATCCTTGACAGAGTTCAGCGGCAGACGGCAGCCGCCGCCAACGACGACGACCAGAGAGGCTTCATCGAACTGCTGCCGCGTGCGCGTGATGGACAGCTTTGCGACGAGGACTGGGACCTCCTCCTGAAGAGACAGCCCAACCGCCTGACCGCCGCTGAGAAAGCGGCTTTCGAGGACGCAACGAGGCTCTTCTACTCCAAGAAAGAGGTCAACAAGTACAACGGCAAGAAACTCCGGGAGCTGGACAACCCCGTCGCTCGTGTTAGCGCCGTCCACACGGGCGCGAACGCCAGGAGGGCGACAGCAGACACCGCGGAGGGGCTCGAGAGGGACCTCTACTTAGCCAAGGGAGCGAAGGTTATGCTCTCGAAGAACCTGTACCAACAAGTTGGGCTGGTGAACGGCATTAGAGGCGAAGTCGTCGAGTTGGTGTGCGCAGATGATGCGCCCCCGCCGAAGCTCCCCCTTTACGTTGTCGTCAAGTTTGAAGGGTACTCGGGGGGGGAATGGTCGTCTCAGGAGAGGTATAGACGTTGTGTCCCTATTTCTCCCGTCGACACCACCTGGCAGGACGGGGGGACGCAGGTCAGGACGCAGCTGCCCCTTAGGCTCTGCTGGGCAATTACGATGCACAAGTCCCAGGGGCAGACTTTAGCCAAGGCCGTCATTGACTTGGGGCCCAAGGAGGCCTGCACGGGGCTTACTTTCGTCTGTCTCAGTAGGGCGAAGAGACTTGTGGACCTCATGGTAGAGCCCATGAGTTTCGACAGGATTGGTAACCTTGGAAATTCGCCGACGATGAAGGCTAGGCTGCAGGAAGAGGTTAGACTTGGGGAGTTAGCACAGAGTACGAGGGTCAAGTACACGGACATGGGCGTCTTCAGCGCCGTCGCGGGTAACCAATGACGTGAATTGCAAAGAGAAAAAGAAGAAGAAAGGGTCTCTTCCACCTCCCGCGGACGCACACGTCTGACGACAGTTACATCTATCAGCTGTCGCTCGTTTTAGCGACAGCTACTATATCTTTGACATTATGTATTTTCCGGGCACAATGGTGTAGAGGCTGTGTCGTCGACGTTGTTAGTCGAGGTGATGACACGTGCGAGAGGGTAGTAGCCTGGAAGACGAGAGTCCTTCCACGGAGTGAAGAAGATGTTGAGATATTGGAACACTGGCGCTTAGGTGGCCAACAAAATCCGGAAGGATCACACGAGAGAGTGAGCTACTCGGCTACCAAGCACCATGCAGAGAATCCTGCGAGAGTAATTCCTCCACATACACCCATGTATACGTTACATTCGAACCGATATTCGAACCGAGACATATGAGATCTACGATATACAAGGGCAGTGCTACTGAACATTGACTCATACTGGCTACGTGCTAACATTTTCATAACATGTTGGAGTGTAGATTCTCTAGAAAAAGACCCAGATCACGTGTGGAGAAATGATACTTTTTCTGGTGAACCAACGGACAACGACATCCTCACAAATTAATTAACTGAGTTGATATTACGCGTGGCCGGGTTTTTGCACACTATCCCCGCAAAGTGCGGGTTGGTTCGATAGTTGGATATCAGCAGGAGATCATCACTTCTATCATCTCCGCACCCCGGTAATCCCTGACCGAAGATAAAAAACGTGTCTATCTAGCATGGTGTTCTTCACCACAAAGAGTAGTCTATGCCGTCGTTTGGTCATCTGGAGAAAAGCTGCACGGCGACAGCACGAATCAATGCGGCACTCCACCTCAATCAATGCCCTGCGCAATTTATTTATTTTTTTTGCCTTCCGACCATTGCAGATGTACCTCAGAAAACTTTTACTTAATGTCTCATACTCTACATGAATATTAAACCAATTCGAAGTACAACAACATATATATGTAGGACTTAATCCTACTGTCACTTACATCGTAAAAATATCTCCTCTTCAACTTGATTGAAATAAAACCAATGACAATCCTCATGGTATCCTATATGCGTTCGTAAGCTTGCTAAAATACTACTGCGTTGATGTCCTCTTGTAAAAGCTGAAATCCAAGCGCAATTGTCCGAAGGCGGGTTTAACGCGATAGGCGCAGCGCTGGGGGATCGCATACAAACAAGCGTTAACGTAGTGTCCGGGAATGGTTAAAATCGATTCACGATCGCGAGGATCACCACCAAATCTATCAAAGTTCAACAGCAGAATGCGCAGCGGCAGAAGGCGGTGAAATCAGCGAAACCAGCACTCAAAACTCCAAATTCTTCGAAATCAAAACAACACAACGAAATTGAGCACGGTGGTACGGGTCTAGTCTAGAATATGGATGTACGGAAAGTCCCGCCGCTTTGGCATGCTGTAGTTGATGCACTAGTCCAACGAACACCTTTCGTGTGTCAATCACAGCGGGAGACATCCGAAACTACCCGCACCCTTGGAGGAACCATGTGCTGCAGCATGGGTGGGACGAACAAGTCATTGCAATGCTATGCAGGGAGTCTCCGCGTCTAGTTTACAGCATTGCTACTGGTACGCCTGTGTTACGGTTCGGGGCATTCATTGTCCCGCAAGTACAACCCCACAGAGGTTGTTGTTGTTGTTGTTGTTGTTGTTGTTGTTGTCTTCACATTAAAAACCATCCCGGTCTCTCTATCCAGTACCTCTTTCTGTCTCAATCTCTCCGTACTAATCCATCACTTGACTCGGCCAATTTCCGTGGTCACAGGCTAACGTACCTAGAAAAGGTATACCAAAATATAATGGACCCCAAGGGTCAGCAGAGCGATGAAATACAAGAAAACAAAATATAATCAGAAACAAATAAAGGTAGTTGGCCGCATTCAGCGGAGCCTCTGCAAGAGCTGTCTGGACTCGCCCTCCTCTGCTCACAACCAAGCTACCATCCTGAGCTTCAACTAAAAGAATAAGACCATAACATCCACAAGGAGGCCTTTGCTCCGACACTACATCGGCTACTAAAGCTGGTACGAGTATCTTCACTACTCATCGCACTCGGTACAGTCGTTCGATTGCACAAGAAGAGGTCAGTGTGTGTGCATCGTTGCATGAGCGAACACCTGTCAGGAGCAATAATCCCCTTCCTCGCACCATAAACCGTGCCGTGAACGGGAGCTGT